CTAACTCCGAGTATGGGTCACCATACTTGGCCACATGTCACTTTCACTCTTGTGTTCGGCTTGCTCAAGCTGTACAAAACAAGGTCAAGATTTTTTCCAAGTAACAAATGGGTCAGAAAAATAAGGTTAAATGTGGTCTAAATTTTGTTGGATATAGGCTTGATCTAGTAGAATTGTCGATTCAGGTTTGGTGTCGTGTGGCAGAAACCCCTGGCCTGTGTGGCACGGAAGAATGCCACTGAATGCAGGGGAAGAGGGGTGGCACGCCGCAGATGGCATTGTGCACTCCCCACTTAGCATTTTCTGGGGCACCTCCACCATTGAGCGGGTCCCAGCTGTGACCACCCATCAAAGGGCTCACCGTGGCTGATGTGACACTTGCAGATGGATGTTTTTTTGTTGTTTAAGAACGTGTTTCACGATGCAAACAGAAATGCAAGTGCAAGTCTGTTCATTATGACATGCCTGGCTCTCCCTGGTACCAGCTTACAGACCATGAAACCTGTACACAATTGTGGGGACAGAAAATCATGTGTATATATATATATATATATATATATACACACACACATATATATTTGATCACAAATACAGTCAAAACAGCAATATTGTGAAATATTACAAATAATATTTATAATATATATATACTGTATATATATAATAAACATGCAGTTATCATCTCATAAATACAAATTAATCATTTCCATTTTTTTACTCAAATTTTGTTTAAAAACATCACCAGAGTCAAAAGATACTTAAAAAATAATGGCACTTATATTATTTTCAGTTCATTCGTGACATGGAAATAAAAGGTATTGCATTGTGGGATACAGTATTCTGTGCAGTATGCTTTGCTGTATGTACTGTACATTGATCTGAGCATATACATTCACATACTACAGAAATAGTAGTATGTTATTGTGCTGTTCCAGACATAGTCATAGACTCAGTTACTGTATGAGTTAAATTCTCAGAGCTGACCTGTAGGGGGAGCACTTACAAGTCAAAGTGAACTTCGTTCTCTCATGTGGCTCTGACCTTGCCAAACAAAACCACAACCCAGGCGCCTTTTTCACATCTCACTAACTGAGCCACATTCTGGCCCGAGCTGTGAAATATCATTCTTTTTAGTTAAAAAATCTAACTTAGATTTAAAACTGGTCTAAGCACATAAAATGCTAAGTTAGACACTTAAATGATCATATAAGTGCCAAAAATGAGATTTCCATGTACAAGCTTTGGCTATCAGTAAATAGCTGTGAATTACACACTGTAATTGATTTTCTCAAACACAACAGTTCGCTAATATTGCCTGTTCATCTCTCAAAGTCTATAGAGCTAATTCAATCACGTATATTCTCAAAGCTCTGCGTTCTGAGCAGCAGAATGAGATATTTAATTTCTATTAGGTAAAATGTTGTTTAATGGCTCTACCTCGAGCTCTCAGCCTCTGCCCTCGGGAGCACATCATCAGGAAACGGATTCTATTACTGTTCAAATGGCTTCTGGAATCAGGTAGCCACATTCATTAGAGCACAGATTGTGGAGTCCCCTTCCTAAAAGCAGGGGGCGCCTGGTGCATGTTTGGGTGTGTGTGTGTGTGTGTAGTAGTGCATGGATGTCTATGCGTATATAGTATGGGGTCCTGTGTATGTGAGGACATGGGTAAAGGGGAGGAGAGGGGGGAGTCCCACACTGTGTTAGAACAGATGGGTGCAGTCCCTCCCCTTGGGTCAGGTTACTGACGGAGGATACACTTCTTCTGTCATTATGAGTGTGAGATGCATTTAGAACCATCCACAGCAGTGTTGTACAGCTGCTACTTATGAGCACACACACACACACACATACACAACCACAAACACACTGCAGTGAGATATAGAGAGACGTAGGAATAAAAGAAAAGGAGAGCTTGGTTGTACAAACATTTGTGCATATTCATAAGCATCACATTTGAATGTATTTGATATGCACTTTATCAGTTCATGCATTTCATGAGAATGTTTTTGCTAGCACCATGCTCTATTGTTTGAGCTACAGCAACCAACATGTAAAAAAGCAAACCAGCACAAATTTAAAAAAGCAAAATAACTCTATTGTAGACGGTATACATTTTATCAGTTTGTGCTACAGAAAGCCAAATTTAATAAAGCAAGATCATTTGATTAACTCATGATAAAACATAACTATGTTACAAGGTGGTGATTTCATTTGAATTCATACAATGTGATTTGTACAGGAACATATGATTTTTAGAAAAAATAAGTAGGTTCTCCCCTAAACCTAAATGTTACTGCGGTGTAAGCAGATCATACAAAACATTTGTGCATATTCATAAGCATCATATTTACATGTATGCACTAGTAGACCGTATACATTTGATCAGTTCCAGCAGTTGGTAATGTTTTTCGGAGTTGCTAGCACCAAGCTGTACTTTCATCTACAGCAACCCAATTGAAAAGAGCAAGCTAACGCAAAATTTTAAAAGTAAAATAAATTGATAAACTCCACCGAATCTCATGAGAAAACAACTATTTTACGAGGTGGTGATTTTGTCTATTTGTACAGAAACATATAATTTTCAAAAACAAAGTAAGCATGAGGGTCCATCCCTAAATGTAACCATCAGTGGGGCGTAAGCAGACAAAAAATACAAAAAAGTATGAATAAGATTGTACAAATTCATGCAAATTAAGGGCTGTTCACACCAAGGATGATAAAGATAACTATAAAGTTTTAATTGTATGAGAATAGGGAAGTCCCCACCACAACTCTAACTATAAGGCCCTGTACAGTAAGTCTGTAGGTCCGCAAGACCGCAAGACCGCAAGTGCACGTGAAGTGTGCCATTTGGGACAGGGCCCAACAACACAGAGGAACAATATCACTGGTAGCGCTTTCACAATAGTTTTTTCCAGCTAAAAATTAACAGCCAATCAGAATCAACCTGACTTTGAAGAGCTTGAGGATTTAAAGCAGCACACAATTATAATAAACAGAAAGTTAACATGCTTTGGTGTGGACTCTAATATAGTTATCGTTATAGGTATCGTTTTGGTGTGAACAGCCCTTTAGCCACCAACTCAAATGTAAAACTAGTTATGATTTTCAATGAGTGTGTTGATTAACTACATGCTTGCTAATGCAAAGCGCACTGCCATGATGCTGGGGTGTTGTGGGTTATGCAAAGCAATGGATAGGTTGCTAGTGTGATGCTATGTAGTCTCACATAGCCAGACCTTCAGACTGGTCAGGTCTGGGAACCATGGCCGCTTTGAATGGCCAAGGACCGCCCAAGAGGCCATGACTGACAGATAAAGCAACCAATCACGTTTCGTTTTGTGCCACGTCATGTTTAGGGGCGTGGAAATTTCCCCACAATAACAGACCGGTGTGTAAAACTCTTGGACATATTTTAAAGATACGCCGCTAAATATTTCACATACTTATAAAAATGCAGCGTTTAGTTGATCCCCCGATCTACATAAATGCGTCTATGTTTGTGCGAATCATTCATGATCCAGCCTCATCTACAGAAGAAGTGAGTATAATGTTTTGTAATGAATCTTTGCAAATCGCCTTTCCTAATAATGTGCTAATTAGCAAGTTTCACGATGAATGTGGCTAAAGTAAACATTCTCTCTGAGAGCAGCCCGGAAGAGAGGGCCGGGGTCAGCATAGCTCATTAACATTTAAAAGAAAATTCTACAAAAACAGCTTGATCTGAAAAGAGCTGTTTTTGACAGGATAAAAAAGGTGTTTTTTACGCTACCATTGAGAAATTTTAACCAAACTATGTTACAGACTTTTCATTAAGACCCTAAAGAATCATATCAACTTGTGGAAAATGGGTATCCTATGACCCCTTTAATATTCTACACTAATTCTATTTTTAACCAATGTTTTTGTCCAATTTTCTAGTTTAAATATCTAAAAATCTTTTTAAATTAGATAAATTTATTGAAAAGCATCACTGCATATTAAATACATGTTTTCAGAGCATGCATCGGTAATACAGGTATATTTTGTTTTACAGCACTGGCAGTTTTTATCCACTTCTTTTAAGTATGAACGAGTTAAAAGCAAATGTAAAAAAAAAAAAAATCTGTAAGATGAAATGCATTTAAATTCAAGATACTATGAATCTATAAAAACAAGTTTTGATATCTTATGCAGTGTTGCTTCTCAAATAAGTTTTTCGTTTCAAGGATTTTTTGAGAAAAAAAGTTCAATGTAGGATATTCTGATATTCTGTATTATTAGACAAATCTAGTAATATTTTTTTTTCCTCTAAATGTTCGTTTTTTAGTAAATTGCATGGAGAGATGGCAATTAAAATGGTAAACATGATTAATTTCCCATTTAAGTGTGTATTCAAATGATGCATTAACATAGGGACCTTGACATTCCTCGCACTAAAATATTGATTTCCTATGATCCACAGCCAATGCCTAATGGAGTAAAGCACCAGCTTGTTAGTATATAGGGAATTGTTGAGCACTGAGGGATGAATCCTATGAGTGAGCAGACCCTGAGGGCAGATGCTAATGCACTTTGACCTCGAGTGAGGCCTGAGGGGGTGGCAATCACCTGTGTGTGAAGATTTCAAGCTGAACCTGAGAGGAAAAGCTACCTATTTAACCATTTGTTATCTTGTACAGTACAGATGCATGAGACTTACTGGTCACATCAGCTTCTATGTCAGCGAGCTTGAAGAGGGGGCAACTTCGTCCAGGTAGATCTGGTATGCCTCTCTCTTGTGGCTGATGGGGTTCACGAAGACTTTGAGAGACTTGGGACGTTCTTAAAACCTGCAGAGCAAAGAAAACAACAAAGAGTGGAAAGATTCATCAATCCCCTTGTGTCACGAATCCCATGGGCATTCATTTAAGTGCTTGATACTCATCCAGTTTAGAGAAGTGCACATCTTTTAATGTGAGCCAAAGCCCCTGTCCTACATAATAACGATTTCTTGTCGTGAGTTCAGCTTTTGTCTGCCACCCTTGCTGCAGAATGGCTCTCACACAGCGTGAGTTCAGTCTCCACCGACTGAAAAGGTCAGATCAGTGTCTGTTGTTTACAGCGGCTGAACGTCTGCCAAGAATGAGGAGAAAGCTTGAATACATGCACCATGTAGGCTCTCGGCCTCTCTCTGCTCACGTTTTTGTGGTGGGAGAAGTGGTTGACTGCTATGTGATATGTGCTTTTGATGAGTGATACCAATAACTAGAAAGTGGCATGGTCAATGCATTATATGTGAATATTATATAGGAACAAATTTGTACCCAGAATTGAGCTAAATCTGACAAAATTTCCCAAAACCTCCTTTTGGGAATGTCCTGATTTGTAATTAATTAATTAATTAATTGTATATACATGTATATACATAATACAAATAATAAATAATATATGTATATAATTGTGACGACAGGGGCGGGGCCGTGGGAACGGAGCGAGGCCGGTGGAGGAAATGCTAATGCGCGACACCTGCGCCACTCACCGGTCTCGAGTCCCACGGAGGAGCTCCGGAAGGATAAAAGGAGGAGTGACGACAGTGTTGGACGAGAGAGGACCAGGCCTGGACTTTATTTTATGTTTTTTTGTGTGGCAGTCGTCCGCGAGGGGCTGCCGCTTTACTTTCATTTTGTGTTTGTTTATTTTATTAAAGTCTTTAAATGTCAAAAAAATAATAAAAGGGTTCCCTGCTTTTGCAAGAATAGAAGAGGTGCTTGATTTTGGTTATTCATTCATTCAGAGTGTTTTTAAGCTGCTCTTACAACAGGTCAGTCTGAGGACAAACAGTACAGTTTGACAGTTGCACCTGTTACTGCTGTCAATCCCAAACAGCAAATATGTCCACATGCACCTGGCCTACATTACCATTAAAAAGTTTGGGGTCAGTAAAATATATATTTTTAATGTTTTAGAAAAAAAGCCTCTTGTGTTCTCCAAAGCTGCATTTAATTGATCTAAAATACAATAATAACAGTAATAAAATTAAAAATAACTGTTTTGTATTTTCATATATTTTAAAACATAATTTATTCCTGTGATGCAAAGCTGAATTTTTACATTACTCCAGTCGTCAGTGTCACATGATCCTTCAGAAATGATTCTGCTGACTTGCACCTCAAGAAACATTTCTTATTAATATCAATGTACTAAACAGCTGTGCTGCTTAATATTTATGTGGAAATTATTGTGTGTTATCTGTAATACTTTTTTTCCAGGATTTGCCATCAATGTTTGATTTACTATTTTCTGTATTCCCTTCTTTGCAGAGAGAACCCAGTATTGAGTAACAGTGGATCATAATTAGCAGAAATTAGGGAGCTGCGTTCTCTCCCGGCCTTCCTGGAGTGCTTGAGAACGATGGAAGCTAAGGTGAAGCTCAATGCTCTCTCTCCTTCCTCCATCATCTCCCTCATTACTCTAATCCGGCCCCTGAAGCTCTCGACCCTTGACCTGCTAACGAACCGCTACCCTTGGCTTGCCCTCCGCCATACCCCCTGCTGACATCACAGCGCAAGAGTTCCAGGGGGTGCCCAAGGTCATAGTTCAAATAGACACAAAACGTGCACGAAAGTAGATGCAGGATGTAAGGTGGGGAGGCTGGTGGGGATTTGAGATCTTGAAAGAAGGTTGCAAGTCTCGCTCAGTGTGGGGATGCTGATCCCATCTCCCACTATGTGGCTCTTGGGGGCCGCGGTGCTGGGATGATGGGGTCCACGTGGGGAGCAGGTGCAAGGGGGCGGCACCACCGCTGCTGTTATAGCTGTGAATGGGGCTCAGGAGGCTCAGTAACCCTCATCCTCACCGAGGGAGCTTCGAGCCCGCCACACGACACATGAAAACAACGATCGTCTATTCCATCAGATTTAGGGGGCACATTTGCATCACCGTTTCATAAAGGTAGTTCAAAATATCCACACAAAAACTTGCTATATATAGAGACTCTTTTTCTGATTTTCCCAAGAGACTCTCTGTTCCAAAACATTGTGTGCTACCTATATAGACAGTATTATATCACAGTACATGGCAATGGCTATGCTAAAAGGTAGATGACTATTCACAGCCGACAGCAAGACAACTCATAAGATATTGGAACAGAGCCCTCATCTCTTATTAATTCGTTACACTGAAACAGGAAACTATGTTTCTGTTGTTTTAATGATCGTATCTGAGCTGGAGTTCAGGAGAAATCTAAACACCACAGAAGGGAGAGTGGGGACGTAGCCCGTCTGCATGCACGATACCGTGTTACTATGGCACATAATCCCATGTTTGTGCGAGTGATGCATGGTGGCTCACAGGATCTCACTGAAAGACAATCCAGATGAAGGGGCCACACTCAGGTTTCGCCTTCATGAGTCCTGTTTGTGTTCCCGCAAAAGGCCACTGTGATTAGCAGCTTGAAAGAGACTTCAGCGTTCAGACGTTAATTATAACTTTTCGGGGACACCAGACGACTCATCTAAATATTGTGTTCTGACGTTAATCACTTCTGTAGTCTGTTTTAGGTAAAGCTGCAAGGGATTTATTCCTATTTTTCGCTTAAATGGGTGCATTTCACAAAACCTGTTCAGAACATGTCCAGGTCACATGTCACAAAAAAGTAATGTTATAAAAAGTAATAATAATAATAATAATAATGTTTTTTTAATGGTAGCATTTGTTGTGCAGATTTTTTTTTATTTTTTTTTTTAAATACACTCTCACAAAAAAGACAGAAAAAAGCTGTCACTGGGACGTACCCTAAGGTACAAAAGCTGAAAAGTACATATTTGTAGCTTATATACCTCTAAATGGTACATGTTTGTAGACTTTAGGTACTAATATATATTTTTAAGGTATGGGTAAATAAGGTACTAATATGTACCTTTTATCTTTTATGCATTAGGGTACCATCCAGTCAAAGCTTTGTAACTTATTTTCTGAGAGTGTATATGACCTGGATGAAATATGACCTGGGCATGTTTTTGTTGACATTCACCCACATGTATTGTGCCCTTCATGTGAGCAAGTTGGTTCTGTTTGTCCTCTCAATAGCTTTGTAGTGACGTCCACATTTCAGACATGTGTCTCTGCCACCTGCAGACATTCCATGAGGTCAGCACGTTCTGCAGCGATGCAGTCACCCTATGACTCAGGCTTAAGGCTGTTTTACCCCTGAGGGCTATCAAGACCGGCTAATGTCACCCAACACAGTAGCTACATCTGTCTCTGTCCAGCCCCTGTCTCAACGCACAGAGGGTGCTGATGGGAAAGGTAAAGAGCATCTGAATGGTGTGGCTGAGGGTCTCCCTGTGGAGAAGATGATTTGGCACAGGGGAGCACTTTTCCCATAATCAGGGGTAAATTACCTGAAAGCGGGGTCAGGTTACACATTGATTTCAAAGACAAACAAAGCCCCAGGACTGCCCGTAAACACTCGCCCACTGCACTAATGAGTGGATTGACCATGCGGTCCAGTCATGGTTTGATTGCAAGGCATCGATGCTTCATATTACAGTGTAGCGTTATTTGTGTGACAGTGAATTCACCCAGTTTTCTGGGTTATGTGCCGTGTAGAATTCAGAATGAGAATGCTTTTAAATTCCAAATAAATCATTTGATTTTAAATGCAAGGAAGTAGAATTAAAATCAATAGAAATTCATAACTCTGATTTTAACTAAAAAAGTTTATCAAGTCAAACTTTAAGATGTATAGGCTTTTCATAGATAGACGGATGGACGGATGGACGGACGGACGGACAGATAGATAGATAGATAGATGCCTGAGTCAGAATGGGTTCTGAAAGGGCTTCGAGAAATTCGGTTAGGGATTTTGAAAAATAAGTTGTAATTTTTATACAATAACAGTATGTTGATTTGGCCAAGCCCACTTAAAAAGGCACACAGAGTACAAGAGAGTCGCAACGTACATAACACAGCCATCAAACTGCACTTAAGTAACCCATAAACCGTTCCACTCGCTGAGCCCACAATACCCAAACAGGCTTTCTGGGGTGCACAGAATATTTGCTAATCCTCAAGAACAGATGTCTTATTTTTGCCCTGAAATCCCTGGCTGGCTGGCTGACTGGCGAGGGGAGTGAGCCCTCCAACGGATAAGCCCAGATTGGGGCCTTGCAGTGGGAAAGGTCAGGATCGGAGAGAAGCTGGATCCGGCAGGCCCGAGGGGAGGTAAGAGATCTGGGGGCCATACAGGAGATGGAATGGGAGAGAGAAAAAGAGTGTCACTGTCCTGTCCCGCTTTCCTACCGGCCGTGAGATCTCCATACGGGGGACGAGTGCTTCGACATTTCCTTAGATCCTCTGCCAAGAATGGAGCATCTGGCATGGTGTCAGGGACTGGCATTAGCGCGCATTAGCAGTGGGGGAGACCCAGCCCTCTCCAGATTTGTCCCCTCCAGCATGGGCATCACCAGGCAGGAGCTGCTCCAACCATTAGACGAGGTGGGGAACTGCGGTGGAGGTTTGGGCTTCAAATCAATACACTTGCTTTCATTGGAACAATTAATTCACACAGGCGCCATATAATGAGACGAACAGAGATGCTCAGAGAATAAAATTAAGCGTGTAATGCATTCAATTAATTATTCCATGTTAAAACATGGGACGTACATGCATATTGTTCAATTAGAGCCATTGTAGTTCTTGGTGTGGACAATAACACCTTTCCTAATATTAGCCGGAGAGGGGGGAAAACAGCACCATGTGTTAGGTGCCTCCATTATGTCTGCATACACGTCTATCTGGGGGCGGGTGTGACAGACAGAGAAATGGGGAAGATCCACTGGGAATACGC